CTTTAATTCAAAATAAAAATTGTGCTATATTCTTGGAGCTTCTTTGCTTGATAGCTTTCAACATTCAAAAAAGGAAAGGTTACTTTCTCAGACTGGCCTGCTAGAAGCCCAAGAATGTTGAAAAGTTTCCAAAAATGCTGCGGATAGTGGACAACACATAATAGCAGTCATTTACTGCCAAAGGGGATAGACTTCATTGACTTTGGCTTTGCAGATCTCTACACCTATTAGAGTATAATGCTTTGATTGCATTTGGTAATGCATTTAGTGACCCAAAGCAAATTGAAGTGAGTGGAAAGACTCCCAGAGGTTTCAGTGAGCTTCAAATGAGACTTTTTTTCTGCACAGATTGCTCCCTGGGGGAGGAACATGCATTTATTAAGCACTGAGCATTGAAGTAACACAACGTGAATGCTATGCAACTCTGTAAAATACAGTTGCTATCACTTAGTTGACTTAAAGCATCCTCAAATGTTTTGCTTTATGGCATTAAAAGAATTCATTTTCTTGGACTGTTGTTGCTAAGGTTTGGTTTATATGAGTGTTTTAAAAAGAAAGCAATCTGAAAAATACCCAATTACTTGCACAGCAGAGAACTCATTCTTTCAAATACCTCTTTTGAAAACGCTTTAAAACTTTTGATTTCTGTTGATTCAACAAAAGGGAAGTTATTTAAAAATAAAAAGAATAGCAAGAGAATAGCCATTCAATGCTCTGAAGAAAAGAACTGTTTTCTAACACTTCTGAACAATTCTGCGCTACTGCACCTTGATATCCTCCCCTTTCTCCTCCAGTTTATACACAGCTGAGATCATAAAATATGTAAAGGCATATTCTGTATCTCCGTGTCCCTTATGATGCCCAGACATTCCTTAGTCCATATTTTGATGAAGACTTACTGCCATTTCTGTACCATTGGTCTGATACTTCCAGAAGGCATTGGATGCAACCATGTGCTGAATACTTCATGGATGTACAGCAGGTTACATCAGATTCCTGATTTGTGTGCCATACAGTTTCTCTTTATAGATGAAATCCAGGAATCCCTGGGTGCAAAGGAGCTCCTGGGCTTCTGCACAGGACTCATATAGAAAGCTCAGGGTTTCGTTGTGGATGTGTGGTCATGCTGATCACCCATCTGACAACTAGCATTTCTGCTCAGCTGGCCAATCAGCAAGAGCTACTAGTGTAGCTGGGTGCACCAGCATTTATTTAGTTCAAGTATCTAAGTGGAAAACAATGACATGATCAGAGGAATCCAGACACACAGTATCAGATGTGGGTAAGATTTATACACATGAACGTGTCGGAAGGGGAACTGATCATGGGTCACTATTCCTGGGCATCCTAGCAATGGATTAGCCAAACTGGGGAATGGTATTCAACCCCAGCTTTCTGGATGAGTGCCTTACGCCTTCGTGACACCGCCATTAAGGGTAACTTTGGTTACAGGACCCCTTCACTAGACTAACAAATACAAAACAATTTCATCACTATAAAAGAGGTTGACACCATGGTGAATATTTCTCTGCAGATACTACCTATACAGAAAATCATTATTCCATGTCCATGAAGGAAGCAGCATGCTGTATTGCTCAGTTTGTGCTAAAACTGTAGAGAAAGAGAACCTTCCTGCTTTCTGCAACAATCCCAGCACGTCTCCCTTCCTACAACAGTAGCTTTGTTGAGATGTAAACTCTCTCATGGTTTATTCTTACCTTTTGTAACAAAGTAATCAATTTTGTAGAAGAATAAGAAAAAAATGCATATTGATTTAATTATTAGTATGTTATTGGTATTGGAATTTGACCCTATATTCTTAGCTAGAATTTCAAAATACAGCAAAGATAATAATTCCACAGAAATACTACAAAATTTGTCAAAGAAATATAATTATATTTCATTTGGAAGACGCTTTTTAGATGTTTCTCTTATGTGCAGCCAACATGAGCCTCAGCTGGAATTAATTTCATTCTTTCATTTCCTTTTCTTTCCTTTTCTTTTCTTTTCTTTCCCTTTCTTTCTTTTTCTTTTCAGTAGCCTCAATTTTATATTTGATTTTCAGTAACTGTCTATGTTGCCATGACTTACCATTATGAAATCTGTGTATTAAAATTAAAATTAATATTAATATGGAAAAGAGCAGTTTTAAGCACATAGAACTCTGTCATATAATCTTATGCTAGCGTTGAGAACAATATGTAGGTAATTACTTCTAAATAGTACCACTTTCATCACTTAGATAGTAACTTGAAAACTGACCAAAAAAACTAACCAGGAATCTTCTCATCAGGATTCTTCTTTGCCTTTTTTAAGTGAAGGAATTATTCCCTTTAAAATTGCTGAGTTTTGATGCTTTGTTGTTTTTTTGTGGTAAAGCTCCACTAAAATACAGAAGAATGAGAAGAAACTCTTGGCATGAGACGGTGGGTTAATTAAAGGTAAGTTGAGTTGTATAAATGTGTGTTAATAAGAATAGGACACACAGAAGAAGGGGGTGGGGGGTGGGGGGAATATAACTCTTGTATTCAAATCCCAGCTGCTTTCATAAAGTAAATTTGAATCTGTTTTTTTGGTACTCTTGCAAAAATAACCCTGCTGTCATGTCTTATTCTGTTAGATATTCAAGCATGAAACAATTTTTAAATGGATGTTTTATTGACAGCCTAACTTATTGTGTCTTGGCAATATGTAGAAAGGACTTAGAAAACCATCACTTTTAAAGAGCCATTTTGGGACTTCAGATTTAACACCGATTTGATTAAACTATTTTATTACTTTTATTTCTAAATGCATTTCAGACAGACAGATTTCCTTAAGAAATACAATTTTGGTATTAAGTTACAGATGAGGTTTTAAAATAGCTATTTGCCTGCAACAGCAACAGCAAGAAAAGCTTCCTTCTTTGTGCAAGGAATCAGATACTGGTGAGATGAGACCTGTATGGCTGTACATGGCTATACAGCTTCATGTATAAAGCCTGTTATGAAGCGCTTTGAGTTTGGTCAGTGACATGTTTCTTCAGGTACTTGAGTCATCCAAGATGGGAGTCAGCTGACAGGTAGGCTAGCATTTCCTTAAAATAACCTTTTGTAAGTCAACTGGCACACCTTCAAAAGCCCTCATGAGAATTAACTCACTTATATAGAGACCAAAGCAGTAAAGTACAGCTCAGCTGAATTACACAGTGGAATTGCAACAACTGGGTGTAGCATGTCTGAAATCAGTGTGGTGGGCTCTCTGGTGAGGTACTTTTCCTTTGTGCCTATCTTCTGGCAAAGAAACACAGCAGAAAACACTAGGAGAGGATGGAGTAGGGCCAGAGCATCACCGCTCTCTGCCAGCTGCTGAGATAAATCTATTTAATCCTGAGGCTAGAGAAGAACCTCTCTGATAATCTAACAGCCACTGTCAACATATTCTGGATCTTTCCATTTCTTCCACTCAGCAGAAGCCCAGAAAATACTTTTGTACTCAAACAAGGCAGAATACAAAAGGGAGAAACATTTCAGCTGGATCAAAGGTGTATGATGAAAAGTCTTTCTAAAGCGTTAGCATTTTGGGCATGCTAACACTGCAGAGCTTCTTGGCAGGGTATGTTTGCCCAGTTGGAAATGTGGGTGGAAATCTCCACTACAGTGATTGTACCATGCCTAATTCTCAAGCCAGTTAATTTGGAAGAAACTTGGAATATATCAGTGTGGAATCGTGTTGTACCATGTAGACGCAGTCTTCAGTGACTCCAAACTTGCTATCTACGGAGCCTGTATGCTCGTTGCCAAGATTCTCTCTTTGTTGACTTTCTTTTCAGAGTGTTCACTTGGTAATATTGACTGAATTGTCTGAACAAATGTTCAAGGAATTATCCATTTGAAATTCTGACTTAATATATGAAAGGCTTTCAGTTTGCATGGAAAATTATACATATCTCCAAGTGAACAAGTGAAGCTGAACCAACTGTTGTAGTCACCAGATTTTTAAGTGATACTTTCTCATTACCAACAGAAGAGTAACACAATCTGTGCAGTTTTTGAAGTTGCCCTATATATACTTCATTTGAACAAATTACAGTACTTGCAATGAGACTAAATATGATACTGAGGGTAAAGTAGAACAAAACACAACATGGTTTTTTGGAATCAACCATGATCTGTACAGTCAAAATCTGTGCTTCCATTGCTGCTAGAGCGGTTTTATGATCCCAGTCCGTGTGATGCTGGACGGCTGTAAATAGGACTCTTTAGGGACTAAATTTTGTGACTCCTTAGACTATTGTAAACTGATCTATCTCTGAGGTCTCTTCCAGGAAATGGTACAAAGCTGGGAATGCTATCAGCAGAAGCATTCAGGTTGTGCCCATGCTGAAAAGAGGTGTCAGCCTGACTAAACAAAGAATCTAGCCTGTAATCTGTAAACCCATCTACAGCATTTGGACTGGATTAAAAAGACCACAAAATTCGAGTGAGAGGTTATTTTGTGCTTAGACAGGATGGAGGTCTACAGATGAAACTTGAATGAGAACATGGACAAATTCTGCTGTGAAGCAAAGACATTAACAGTTCTTCACTGAAATGACTCTCCAGAGAAAACTTCTAGGTGTATGCGTTTTATATATATATGTATTTTATATGTACATATATATCTATATTTATATATCCATTGGACTGTCATATCTAAAAACACCAAGACATTTGAAAGTCTAACAGTCCAGAAGAAAAACAGAGAGAGTTTATAAAGTTTCCAATCTGATAGAACATCCAATTTTCATAAAAGTGCTTTCAGAAATCCAGTCAGATATCTAAATACTTCAGAAAATTGTCTTCTACATGTTGAAAACTAAGTGTCAAAACTAGCAAAAACTCATTAAAAATCCATACTTTTGAACTCTCCAGCCATCCCACAAACCAGCAGAAAATTTTCTTAATCCAAATGCAAAGATACTGCAACAGTTTAACACCACACTGCTACCACTTTTTCCTGTATTCTTATCAGATTCATATTTAGACAGATCTTTCAGAAACTTCAAAATCAGTACAAATATTTCTTTTTAATAACAAATAGGTGGCACAAAATGATTTCCTTACTTTTGGGAGGGAAGCTCTCGATCCTGAGCTTTGCGTGGTCATTGTCAAAACTGTAGTGATACCCAGTGCAACTCTAGCTGGAGCAGCATCCATGTTGATCCAGAAAGAAACCCAGGACAAAATGACAATCAGCAGGCTAGGAATGTACATCTGGATTAAATAGTATCCCATCTGACGCTCCAAATGAAACTTGACTTCAATGCATGTAAACTTTCCTAGAACATGAAATTACTTTCATAAATGCTTTTTGCACATTTTTACCTTGTTTTCTAAACATAAGTTAGATGCGTGGCCTGTTTCCTAACCTAACACTATAAACAGTTCCTGATACACAAATGTGAGTCGGCCATTTGTTGCACATTAGCTTGAGGGAAGCATGGGATCCCTGAAGCAGACTGTGCCCAGTTCTTCACATTCACTGAGAAAATGAGTATCAGAACAGTTGTTTCACCTCCAGAAAATATAATATCATATTAATTTTCTCAACATTTAATAAGATTTTACTTTAGTCAAATGTCATGTTTAGTTTTAAAAGGGGACGGTGTTTTGCTCTTTGGTGACATGAGATTAAGCAAACATGTACTTAAGCAGACAAATTGTAAACAATTAGTCTTACAGTCCTATAGCAGATCACACCCCTTCCTATTCTGATCATGTCATTTGCCTGTGTCTGTGGATTACTTCTCACAGCAAAATCAGCTCAAAGCCTACTTTGAATTTTGCCAGAAGTCTAACTCCAGGAAACCCACAACTATCTCTTGTGAGAAGTGAGTGATTCTTCAAACAACATACAGCTGCTCCACAGGGGTAGAGGAGGACAGAAGTTTAGGGTGGTCTGACAGTGGAGCTAGTCATGCAGAGGAGAATGCAGAGTCCCGAGTTGCAACAGTTCATCAGCTACTAATCCAATGACTCTCTGCTGATCTCTAAATTTCTGTGTATCCTGACTGTGGTTTAGGTACTGTGAAGGTTCTCACTCGAGGCAAAAAAATGTCTGTCCTTCCTGAGACGTCATGCTAATGGTTTCAGCGGACCCCTTTTGTATTGGTTGGTCAAATGCATGAAGGTGCATTGCTCCTTGTTCTTCCTTTCAGGCGAAATTAGATTTTTCGCTCCTTTTTGTGATTCATGTGTATTTTTTTTTGCTCGTCTAGAAAGCTGAATGGCAGGGCGCAAGAGTTGCCACAAAGGACAATGCAGAGGCTGTTTGACAAAGAATAGAGGGAAGAAGAATGGAATAATATCTTTTGACTTGACCTGTGACTCCAAAGGCACATTCTGAGACTTGGATAGCGACTGATCCTGACCAGTCTGTCTGTACAGAAGGAGACTGGAAAGGTGTGGGGTGGCCAGTGTGGCAGCAATGGCATCAGAGTAGCCCAATCTGTCATGTGCTCCCCAAATAGCTGCGGTGCAACCTGGACAGAGTGCCTTGCAGTCTGGGCAGACGGAGAAGGCTGAATAATACAGCTTTTATCCACATTTTAATTTCACAGAAAACCTGAAGGAGCATGTGACAGAGAAGACAGCAATGTGGGTGCCTGTAGGCAAAGTTTTCTTTTGCTTGAATACTGTTTTTCAGTTCCCCTGGCTAGGCCACATACTTTAAAATTTGGTAATTAGATATTAATTGTATTTAGTTAGTTGTAATGGGAGCTACTAATTGGCATTTTTATCCTTTGTGGGGAATCTTCAGGGGTATAGAAGAAAGTTATTGCCCATGCTCTCCTCCCTCTCTTACTTTGTGTTTGATCCTGAAAAATGGTTATCTGACAGTAACTAGAAAAGCAGATTGACTCAGTTATTCAGAGTTTGAGTTACGTGCAGGGAAATGGCTAAACTTTATATCAGCCAAATTACAAATGGGTAAGCTCTGTCTATTGGAATTTATTCTCGATTATCCCCTTTAAGCGTGAGAAAAGATGAGAAGTCACAGCAGTCTCCCTTTCCACAGGTATCTGACAGTGGAATCACAAAGTTTTCCTTCCTTGGCACTTCAGGCCCCAAAATGAGAAGCTGTATTTGTGGAAAATAAAAAAAAAAAAAATCATTTTCTTTTTCACAAAAAATGAATGTGAATTATTTTTGGGAGAGACAGAACCTCTCACATTGTGTTATTTCACAGAGTGAAACAAATGTATTTGATGCAACCAGATTGGTTCTTAGGCTGAAATGATGAAAAAGCTATTTTAGATGAGAAGGATTATATCTAATCCCAGCAAGCACCTAGCAAACCTTTCTCTAAATGCTGTCCCTATTAAATAAACTCCAAGCAGCTAAATCCAAATTTTAACAGAGTTGTCTCTGCTCTATAAAGCTAGAGATAGAAAAGACAGCATTTGAAACTTCAAAATATCAAATATAGGAAAAAGATTACAGTATTAAGCAAACATTTAATTTCCCAACATTTCATGTCTGTACATTATTCAGATCAGCAATGAAAACATTGTCTTTTCAAATACTGCATTTCATAAATTAGACCACACATAAGAGCTAGTGAAAATTTGTTATTTTTCCTTATTGGCACTTTGATATGCTGGAGAAACAAATCAAGTTCAGAAAAATCAGTACTTTAGAAGTGCTGAATCAATATTTAAGAAAATATTCAATTTGTTTGAAAAGTTTCATTTTTAGGAAATCAAAACAGCTAGAGTTTTTAATCATTTTTTTAAGATTTTAAATTCTTTAATGATTTTAAGAATATTAGAATATGTATATTAGAATAGCACTAATTAAATTAAAGGAAATTTGAAAGTAAAATATTTCAAACAAAAATAAAAGATATAAAATTTCATTTTGTGAGACTTAATAATTAGTATAACTGAATCAAATTTTAATTTCAAACTTTTTTTCATTTTACCTATTTTTTCCCTTTACAAATTGACAATAGATACCACTATAGCAGTTAATAGAAAAAAATAAAATAATACTTACCAGTGTTGTAGTGTTTTGTGCAATAACCAAGTTCTTTGTCTTCTTTCAAAATAAACTGTGGCAAGGTTAAACCCTCTGCAACTTGCACAGGTCCATCACTTAGCCACTCAAATATCAGATCATTCATAGTGTAGCCAACTGCAACAAAGAAATTGGAGTTTGTTAGATGGCAACTGACCGGGAAACATCAAAAGCAAATATTATCATATCTGAGAAGCATATCTTTTACTGCAACACGTTATCTCAGTTACATTTTTAAACTGTCTGATTAACAGCAGCACTATTGCTGTCAGTTACTAGTAACTATTACTGCATTATTGCTCTATTAAGAGCCACAGGTAACACCATTATGTTCTGAAATACTGCTCTGGTTTATCACTAAAAATAATTTTGCTGAACCATCAAAGATCCTGTTTACAACTGAAATGACATTTCTCTGTGCCCATGTATCAGCCTGCATTTTGCTTTATTTTCACCATTCTTTGATGATGGAGTTGGTGGCCACCAACAAAACGAGGATTTCTAAATTGCAGAATGCTGAGCCCTTTCTGAAAAGAAAATGACAGCTTTGGTAACCTGTGAACCTACCACGGAGGGGTGTGGAGGGGAAAGAGAGAGGCTTCGACTCACTGAAGTCTCTTTGTCTCAGGTAAATTTAACAAACTATGGCCACTCTCTGGCCACAAAGGCAGGTGGTAGCCAGCAGCGCATACCCATGTGGCTAAACCCATTCTCCTCTCCCCATAAAATATCCCAAGGTGCCCTGATACCTACTGACTATTGGGAATGATCACTGGCACATGCCATTATCCAAGCCATTCCTGGTTTTGTCTGGTTGTTGACCTGGTACAGGTCAAAACAATGCCACGGCGTGTGCCAACAGCTATGCAGTACTGGTGGGCATGTGCCAGTACCCAAGCCCATGCCTTGGTCATGTTTATTTTACCAGCGTAAGTGCACCTATAGGACCTCTGCTTTATTAAGTATATTGCTTCTATTTTTCAAAAGACCATAGGACCTATTGATCAGACATAGTTAATCCCTGGCTGTGTACTAATTGCTCTTACTTTCCTGAGATTTAATTCCTCCTGCACGGCATCTCTGTGGTTATCCCTGAAAGTGTCTCAGTCACCTGATGGGTGAGGTGATGTGCCAGGGATGGGGAAAGGGAAGGGAGCAGGAACAGCACAGAGACTGGGAACCCACATGGTATGGTGATGGATGGTTGAAACACTGTTCCTCTGTACTTTTCCCTTATAAAATAGGAATACTGGGTCTCACGACACAAATATGACAATGTAGATACTCTATAACCACCAACTGTTATAGTAGAATCTTTTTCTTCGCTATATAAAGCAATTGGACACTCACAGCTCTCTAGCTGCATTGTACATGTCTGTACATCCATAGGAAAGTTCTTCAAGTCCATGGGACAGGATAAGGTTAATGTAAGCCTAAAATTGAGGGGGGAAAAAAAAAGAACCTATTGTTAGAAATCTACAGGATTTATCCAAAGCCCCATAATTAAAGGATCAAGACCAAATCTTAACACCTCAGAAGTTGGGCTCTCTCTGCCCTCTGAGCTTTTAAGGACATAACAGCTCTGAAGACAGAGTGTGAAAGCAAACCAGGCGCTTGCTGGCTGCATTGGCTAAGCAGAACAGAGACAGAGAAGACAACATCAAGACAGCAAGAAATGATCTCCACTAATGTACCAGTGAATGTTTTATGTATAATACTGAACCCAAATAATGCAAAAGCTGAAATGACTGATCATGGGACACACATTTTTAGGCTTTATTCTGGAAAAGCAAAGGAAGAAAACAACAATCACAGGGCTTTTTTCGACAGAGAATGCTTTTGTTGTGTATAAGGCCCATTTCCAACCGTTCATTCTTACTGCTTAGCCATTAAAAGAAAGAAAAAAAAACTTTGTACAGCAAAAGCTAGAATCACATAACATTAAAAGATAAAGAGTGCAGAAAGAAGAAAGTAAGCCTAAAGGAACATTATCATACAAACTAAATTTCTCTTTTAATTTTTCAGTTGTTATTGTCCCAGATAAAGCATAACTTTACTTGGATGAGAATACTCTTCATGTTTCTTTCTTCTTATTTTTTTTTTAGTTCAGCTTACTTTTTTGCATTTCATTGAAATCTGTTTTGAGACTTTTCCTCTACTTTATTTCTTTTCTTGTTTGTGTGGAGAGAAGAAGCCATTTTTAACAAACCGAGACACTGAGATGTTATAATTACAAACAACTAGCTGCTTTGTAAAACAAAAGAATTGTTAAACTTTTGGGTTAAGTCATATAAAAAGAGTACATTTTTATTTCAGATTACTTTCAGCACAAAAAACACTTTGAGACAAAGAAAGAAAATAAACAAAAACCTTTGTGCTCATTTGCCATCAAGGATGAGAACTAGACTGTCTGATTTGAAGGTACACAGAAACATTAACACAGTACAATAAGAACAATTTTTTAAATTATTCCTATGAACTCACAGGCTAGCTCCTAATTTAGAAAGTATGTTGTCCTAAAGACAAATGCGATCTGTATGGAGAAATACTTCACTAAGCTCTGTCTCCCGTGGTGATTTTATGCATCTCACCACATACAGCTGAATCAAGCTTTTTCAGTCTATTTCTTCATCACGTGAATCTTTGGGCATGACCTGAGTAGGCCTTCTGGTCCTGCTATCCTGCCATCAAAACACTATGACAAGAAGATGATATTTAGGTAACCAAGATCAAAATAGTCTCAGCCTGATCAAAAATCACATTCAACATCTCTGCTTTTGCCTAGTTGTGGGCTACATAGAAAAAGTCACATTATGTTCCTCTTGACACAGGCTTCAGTGTACAAGATGATCATATCAGGAAATTAGAGATTGGCTGTCTGTGGCAGCGAAGTGCACTGAGAGGAAGAAAAGCCCCCAGTAGTCCTCTCAACACCATCATAGTAAATAAACTCCCATTTAACCTTTGGGAGCAAATAGGATAAACACCAAAAAAAAAACATTAGTCATCTAGAGAAAAAAATATATCTGGTAGACATATAAATGTCATTGAAAATCTGCCCTTTACTCATTTAAATATTTTAAGTGCCCTGCAAATGTTAACTAGTCTCATTTTTATTAGGTAATTTCCTGGATTAAAGATTGGGCTATTTAAATCACTGATCTCCAGTATTAACAAAAGACTGCTTCTGCTTTTTCTTCTGAAATGTTGATAAATCAAACCCTCTTCCTTCTCTACAGTCATCTTCTAAATATGGCTTATGTGGTTTAAGTTCATTTCAAACATGCCTTTACTCAAATTCAACCTTTCTAAATATGTCATTTGTTTGTATTCATTGAAGTAGGCATGGCCTATCCGCCCCTCAGATTTTACTGTGTGCGTTGTACCTACCTATGCTTCCTTCCCCCTTCATCCCTTTTTACTCCCCAAAACCCCCAAATCATCTGGGGGTTTGACTACAGACATGGGAAGGAGCATCTCTTTTGTTAGTCTAATATCGAATTCGTGAGGAAATGAATACATGCAGTTGCAGCTTTCAAGCCTCCCAGGGATAAATTGATTTATCTCCAATGATGCTAGGTAGATATATCTTTTTTTTTTCTGGAAGTCAGCTGAGAAAACGCTCATTATGTTGGTTCATGCAAAGGTTGACATCTCTTCTTTCTCTTCTTAACCAACAGTGTCTTTCAAGAAGACTAAATTATTCTCTGCTCACCCTGACAAATGGAAAATAATTTCTTTTCACTGTATTGATGAGGCTAGCTTGAGAGATCATGCCCTTATAGCTTTACCTTTACTTGTTGTTCATCTCAGCAGTGTAGCCATTCATAGTTAATATCTCTGCCTCTGTAATCTCTTTTACTAGGAGTAATGCAAGTGTTGAACCCAATGATTGTTACCTGGTATTGTCCACAGATCTATTGATTGTTAACAAGATTACTACATGCTAAATGTTCAGCTGCTGGAGTCTGAAGTAGCTCCAGAGAAGTCCATGGTGGTGAGTCAATTTATAGCAGTTGACTCTTTTTCAGTAAAAATATGATCCTGCAAGTGTTTCCAAATCCAGGTGCCACATCATTACATGTATATTTAAATTAATAAGGAAATAGGATCAGAAATGGAAAGTGTTAGGCAGATATAGCTACCCACACTGCCTGTAATAACAGTGTCATTGACAGAAAACGTTTCAGAAAAATGAATGTCTCACTCTTGACAAATTCAAGAAAGGCCCCCGAAGATTCGGTGCAAAGTGCAAGCTTAACTGGCAATTACATTGGTGAATACTTTAATTGTTAATAGAACAGAATAAACTGCTATAGAACAATTATTTCATTTTTCAGACACCCTGCCACCAAGGCATTTGAGACACATAAACAACAGATTCAGTGACGCAGCACCATAAAACACTGATGGGAACAGTTTTATGACCAATCCGTAGAGCCAAAAGGAGAAGCAGCTGACCAAGGATTTGATTTTGTCTTCAGCTTCCTGAGCACACTTTACCCCCTGCTAGCCAGGCTCAGGTCGCACAGCTCGCTCAGGGAGAGCCCTTGTGCTGGGCACTCTATATTGAGCAGACACAGGTCATGAGGGAGCAGGAGAGAATCTCGTCTCCAGCACCCCAGCACTTCAGGCACAACACCAGGGCCAGCAAGCCGCCCCGGAGCAGAAGTAAAGTTTCTCTCTTCTTTCCCTCCCCACTCCTTCACCCGTCCTGGAGTAAAGGAAGAATCAAGCCCGGGAAAAATGCAAATAGAGTATGAACAGAACAAAATACAGAATCAGAGCCAGAAAACAAAGAATGAACAATTAGCCGGCACTGTGACAAAAATAATTTTTAAAAAATCAATAATAATACCAAGCAACGCTGTGGCAGAGGCAGGGCTTAATCCAAGTACTCCAGGGCAGCATCACCTGTCTTAAACTTTGGACCCTCTTCCTGAGGATCCCCTCAGACACTAGGTAAGTCCTTCTGAGCAGCATTTGCTGATACTTTAAATGCCTCCAAAGTGCAGCAGGCACTGCTGGGATTTTTTCACTCAGCATTTCATTCAAATCCCCCTCTTTCATCCCCTGGTTTCACCAGAACGTCCTGAGAAATCACTCAGACTTGGGCTGTGGGCCTGTCTCTCTTCTCATCCCAGCTCAATGCTTTTCCTTGCTGGTCACCCCAGAATCCCCCTCACAGCATCATCTGGAGGTCTGTATTTCTCACACCTGCAGGCAGGAAGACAAAAGCCTTGCAGACTGTGGCCTCCTTTGGCACAGAAGCCAGAATGGGGCATCTCATGGGAAAAAAATAAATAGCCTGACAACATGTCATTAATCAGAAACCTTCATGTTGTTGATCTTTAGCTCCTGAACACATTGTTTTGCAAGGTCAGTGTTTTTGCTCTAGATGGGAGCAAACGTGCCCTCAAACAAGCCAGCAGTAGAGCTCAGTACAGGCATGACCGCTGCTCAAAATGTAGCTGCTACGGCCAGCCATTGTCCTCCCAGAAAAAAAGCCAGAGGAGGAGGATGAAACACACATGTGCAGCCCAGGACGCTCAGAGGTATTTACATGCAGTGCAATCAAGTCCTGAGCTCAGTGGTGGCTATGAGACATCGTTCTTCCTATTCATGCTTTGCCTATGCCTGCCCTTGTCCCTTCTCTGGCCCTGAAAATAGTTTCGCCACCTCCTCCTTTGTCTGCCCATCTACCCTACATCTCTCCCAGAGACACCTACATGTCTCAGAGCCCACCCTCTTTCCTCTCCATCCTAGTCTGTCCCTGTACCCTTTCCCCCTCCCTTTGCTGTTGCCCTTTTCCTGCCAAATCCCACTCTGACCCCTCTTCAGGGTATTAAGCTTTGAAGCCAGTCCACTCTTTGACACCTAATCCCCAAAGTAGCACCTTCAGTGGAGGGTAAGTCCTTCAATAGAAAAAAACATTCAATAGGAGCCAAATGTTTGTAAACAGATTATTGTCAAGATGGTCTCTAATCTCATTCTTTCTCTTAGAGGTTTTGAATCCTGTTGCTCATCACCATCATGCCACGCCTCTGATAATCTCACAACGCTACAAAAATCCATCAGCGTACTATACATACAGACTGTGAACAGTCTGCAACACAAAACTCAAGAACTACTAGTGTTGTATTAAACTCTTAGGGAATTGAGTTTGCGTATTACATAATCCAAGAACTTTTTTTATAAATTTAAGAGAATATCTAATTTTAACTGAGATTTGATATATTGTCTAATCTGCAGCAACCATTAGACTATGTTGTAACCCACTTCTTTACCAGCAGCTCCCATGCCTTAGCCTGATGTGTTGCAGCTCACTCAGAATTTCTCTTCTCAGCAATAACTCTCACCCCAGGGAAGGACACGGATCCCACAAGAGAAGGGCCCTGTAGATCACAGGGGATCTGATGACAAGGGGAATATA